CAGCTGGTAAATTGGGAGATTCAGGCTATATTTTACGAAAACTGATTTCTGAAATTTTGAATGCTGAATTATAAACTGTTTTTGGCGAGCACTTTGCGAGTTGTCGTTCTGGGGCTACAGACCTTCGATTTTTTTATGATTTATATGCATGCGTAGCCCCAGGTGTCTAGTTTCATATTATATAAATTTTACAATGAAATTATGATAGTTTGATTTATTGTGATTTTCACCAGTCAGGTCGTTTTGGAACATTTTCACTGATTTATCTCTTACCTTGCGAGTTCTGTTTCGGGAGCTAACCACCTCCGAACGAAATGATTTTTATATGTACGTAAAGCCCCGAATGTCTAGTTTCTTCGTAGCAAAGAATATTTTTGTACATTTTTGTATTCGAATTGTTCATAATGTTTTCAAGTCAGGTAGTTTCGGGAAAAATCAGAGAAGCGCAGCAAAAGCTGTTTGTTTTATTTTCTTGAGGTCTTTATGTTTCGAAGTCAGTGTTAAAGAAAAGATTTTCAATGATAACGCCAATAAGTTTTTACAGAAATTTTTTTTTTGATTGTAACATTTTTATTTCATAACTCAAAATCATAGTTCAGTAATTAATTTAATTCCGCTACGACTCTAATCCGCTTACCAGACAACTCCTTTGGACGCGTACAAGGGAGGGTGTCACACTAATTGGTATCAGAGTAGTTTTGATTCAAGGTGTCTGTATTTGATGAAATATCTATTGTTTGTACTTGATTTCTGAATGGTCACTGTCTGAATTTATTGATTATTTGCATATGTTCGTTGCATTGTTGTTGTTTGAACTTAGCTGTGAATGAGTTACTGGTTAAAATTTCCTTATATTTGGAGGTGTGATGATTCTGGGAGTACATGGTATTAAGCATGGCTGTGCCCATTTCCTTGCTAGGTGGTGAGCCTGATCAACTCACTGTCGCGCAAGATGTGTGTGCACAATCATGGTTATCACGGGGTACACTAGTGTTTGAGCACTAGATTTGAAATAGTGAATTGCTACTTGAATTAATGGTTAATTATAAATTCTGCTTCCTATGGATTATAAGGAAGGTTTTATATATCTAAACTTGATGTGAATATTTTGATATCCTAAGCTGTGGATTATAATAAGTTATCTTTAAATAATGATTGCGACTACATGTTTGTTTTTCTGATTTATGACTTTTCTTGTGTATTGTGATTGTAGCGTATAGCTGGGTGATAGCAACTGTTATTCTTTTTCACTAATCCTGTTGGGTCTCATAACTGAGTAAGGGTAGCAGTGATATAATCATGACAATTGATGTAGTTATTTAGCCTTACGAAGGACTTGTTATTTGACCTGAAAACTGTATGTAGACAAACTTATGTAGGGATAGATCACTTATCAAAGTAGATCCAGTTAATGCCCTTAGAAAGTAGAAGTTGGAACTAATTAAGGCTTAGACATGTGGGTCTGCTGTCTTTACAAATCTTCTAATGGTGAATTGGCACTAGACATAATTCTTGAGAAAGAAGCTGTTAAACAAAGTGGTGATGTGTAGGGTAGGGTACTTGACTCCTGTCTCGGTGTCCTTCTTGTGAGTGATACTTGTCATTTTACTTCGTACGTATTAGATTGTCTTGTGTGATTTTGACCACTTTTAGACTTGCATGTAAATTTATTGTCTCTGATTATAATAACAGATTTTATGTGGTGATTGTTTGAATTTACCAGTTTAGATTTTTAACATTTCATTGGAACTGAATGCATAATTAAAGAAAGGTTATCTAAACTGAATTTAAAATATAGTGGACTGAACAGATAAATTGTGACTACGTGGAGCTACACATTGTTTGGCTTGTTGTATTATGTTGGCTAATTGACACTTTGCTAAAATTAATGTTCGAGTAAGCATTAGAAGGTTCTAACTGGATTCTATAAATTCTATTGATCGTGCATGGGCATGGATAATCTGCACCAATAATACAACTAGATCGAATAGTGATATTGGACTTTGAATGTTTATAAGTTTTGACTGATAGAAGCTCATATCTGTTAGTTGCATTAAATTATAGGTTCAGAGATTTGATGTCTGCTGGCACACCGGACTTTAAGTTAGTTTATTTTATGAACACTATAATATTAATTTGGTATAATCAGTTTATTACTTCTGATGAATATTTACATCTAAATCGTCAAACACTGAGCACATATAAATTTGTAGTTGCATGATTCGGTCCTCTGGCTGGGTGAATTACAACTGAAATTGTTGAGCAGTGCATTATGCTTGGTCCTTGATTTAATTTGTTCTTTGTATATACGGTTAGAGTAATGTCTGAAGTACACTTGATTTTCTTTGGTGGGTTAATGTGATTGGAAAGAAAGTTTTGTTTTAATTCAGTACTTTGCACTTAACGTATAAGTTGTTCAACGTTCTTGATTAATATCTTTTGTTCGTGCCATAACCCGAATTGATGTAGCATTGTTTGTTATGTTCTCACCATGTTGCACCATATATTATATTTTCAAAAGAACACTATATTTTGTCGTGAATGTCAACCCTTAAATTTCACCTACCCTCTATATAATTTGATTGAACTATAAACGGAAAAACAGTGGGTCTATAATTTGATTGTTATAGGTCAAAGTTTGGGGTAAACCAATGTCCTGATATAAATTGCATGAATACTCAAATTCTAGATATAGATTAATATGAATTTTCCTTACTTTCTGTCCATGGTCTTTGTGAACTGTTAATCATTTATGGATGTGTCCCTAGAACTAGTTACTGGATTGAACTGTACTGCTGTATTTGCATATTACCTTGGACGTCTAACTTAAAAGCTGAATATGTGATATAAGAGTTGGATTTGATGTGAGCACCCTAATGTTGTGTAATTGTTGTTTAGTTGGTGTAATAAATACTCTATGACTTGAATACACTGTTGTATACCCATGTTTAAAAGTTTGATATTTTTTTGTGTACATCATGATATATTATTATTATTCTTGAAATGTCCTTATCGAATAGATGTATTGTTGCTTGTATGGAGGAGATTAGTTTTCGGTTTAAGTGGAATTTGGATTTGGTGTTTTTCTGCATGAAGTTGAGCTGTGCTTGTGACTTGTCAATATAGATAGAAATTTAATTACAACTCGGAATCAGATGTGGTTTTGTGAACTTGAATTATGACAGTATGGTCTCTGTTAGTGGATTATGTTGGATAGCTGTTTCAAAATTGTAAAATGTGTCGATAATTGGAAAGTCATATCATGATTAATGGATCCTCTGATCAGTGGAGTCAATTACATCTGAGGTACCTAGGACAGCGGAAAGCTCGAGGAAGTTTCCTCATAGGGGTGTTTTGACGAACTGTATGAGGGGTACCACTTACCATGATATGTATGAAAAGTAGGATGGAAGTTTCATGATTGGAAGAAGATTCTCCTCGTTTGAAATTTAGAATGTAATGTGCTCTGACTTACTTGCTTGATTTCCTGAAGGATAATAAAAATTAAAATTCTGTCTGTGATATTCTTAGGTAAGGTGACTAATGTAGAAATCTGAATATAATGCATAGGTGTGATGTGTTTAGCGAGCGAACTGGACTGTTATTATTGATAAGAAACAAGTAGGAAGTGATGACACTTCTAAGAAATTGTAGCATGCGTACTACAAAGACGAAACTTTTAAAATTGGAGATCTTAGTTAATTGGCTCCTATATTTGCGCAGGTAATAGGAGGTAATAGTACTTCATTTTAAATGAACCCCTACATTCTTAGGAACTCTTGATTTGGGCCACTAACTTGTTAATTGCAATTTTATATGGAAACCTTTAAATTTATGATAAGTTGAGTAATAGTATAGTGGGACTTGAAGGGTGAGCGATGATATAGGAATTTGAGAAGCCTCTGTCTATTGCCATGTTTTACTTCATATGTTATAATTCGGAATCGGGTGAATAGAAGGGTAACCACTTATGCTTATACTAGTAATAATTATTAAAATTTATATAGTAAAGAAGTGTTTTGCACATGGATTTGTTTACTGAAGCCCTGAACTCTATTACAGTTATTTTAACTGGAATTTCTTGGTTTAGTAAGGTTTCATGTCCGTTTTATTCCACTTGTGTGCTATGGTATTTGTTGATGTTTAAAAAGAACTTAGAAAATTGCTTGTATCATGGGTAAGCTTAGGAATAATTTTTTTAATTCCTTCCGTATGTACAAAATTGTGTTATATCTATATTATATATTGCTCATGTAACGTACGAGTTTATTGGTAATGCTCTAAGATGTTGATGACTTTTATAGCTGGCTGTATGAATGCAGTGAACTGTATGGCATGGTGTAATGGTGTTGAATGTTAGACTTAGGCAGATTTTGGAATGGTAAGACGAAGTTTGGGGACAAACTTCAAAACAAGTTGGGGAGAGTGTAACATCCCGTGAGAATTAGGAATTTATATAAATTACCATTAATAATGTGGAAGCATGACTTGTCATTCGAAATATATGTACATATATAGATATATTTAGTGTGACCTTAAATTGAATTAAGAACAACTTGTACTGGGTACAAATATGAGTGAGTTGTATTTAATATTTGCATAGAATTCGAAACACTAAGCTATGAAGGGTACGAGTGATTTAATTCATAACATATAAATAGGACTACCTTAACTAAATTAAAGTTAAGTATTGTGCTAGGGATTAGTAGACTAGTACATGAGAAAATTAGTGAACCATTGGAAGAATTAGTTTTGGACCATTTTCCTTACAAGGGCCACGGCCCAAACCTTTAGAGGAGGTTTGACTAAGCCCAAAATTTATAAACCATCCACTTTACTATCCTAAAGAAATCTGGAAGCATGCTCCTCATTGGCCCACTCTTTTTGCATGACTTCTCATTGGTTGGAAACTACCCTTTCATCCTAACCATTTCACTCTAAGAGCGCTAATGAGAGGGGCATAGGCTGAGGTATAGTCTGTTAATTCAGATTGATAATTAATCTTCGAGTCTCTCTTCCCTCTTGGCACCTCACTGTAACAAAACCGAACCAGAACACCCACTCCCTCTCATTCCTAAAGCAGCAAGCACACCTAAACTGAACTGCACCCGCTCCACACCTTCGGCCAAATCAACCATGTTATAGATTGCCTAACAGTTCATTGTGTTTCATCATTTCCACCAGGTCCGTGGCGTTCCTAGGAAGGGGGGATTACCCTTCCATTGTTATTCCCTTCCCCTTCCAGTCGTGCGTTCATCAACAAAGAAATGGAGAATTCATCGTTGTTACTTCCTTTTCTTCCATAGTAGGTTCTGAGCAAGTTCTTCTTGGTGTGCGCATGTCTTGGTTCGATTTGATGAGGACTTCCCCTGCATGCATAACCGAGTTTAAGTTCACATCCACTCATCCTTCTTCTTGTCTAGCCGAAACAACCCGCAACAAGGAGGTGTGGTGTTTTTCCCTTGTCTTGTTCTTCCAATCCTCTCTTCGATTGTTGTGGAACTTCCTCAGATTAGCAGATTTTAGTATAAACTCATTCTCCTCTTTGCCTTGTTTGGTTTAGAATCTATCTTAAGGAGGTGCATGGAACTCGATTTTTGGAGCTCTTGGAGGGGAGAGGTTGATGTCTCCTAATCGATTTGGCTAGTGTGTGTACCGCTAAGAGGTAATGGCTGAACACTTAGTTCCTCACCCACTTTCTGCTTCGGTTTGTAGGTGCACTTTAGGGGATTAAGGTTTTGTAGCACTCATACTCCTGTACCTTTCGGGTTGGACCTCACATGCTTGATAAGAGAGTGTCGTTTTGTCAACTTCATACCTTTGATTCTGCCATTATAGAACCGGTTGAAAGCTTGAAATAAAGCCTCCTCTTTAAGTGTTGCTTTGTTAGATGTGAATAAGTTATCTAGTGTTGGAATGTATTTGTTGTATCAAACTCTATAGGAAATTAAATTAAATTAACAGTATGCCTTGGTCTCCCCATCAGCGCACCTTTGGTCTAGAAGTGATGGTCAGATAAATGAATACTCTAAAACATATTAAATTTGGATGAAAACCGATTATGGATGTTTCTGAAACCTTGGATTTCCGCTGTTGGTTAGTGAATAAAAAGAGACGAAATTAGTATGCTAAAAACTTAATTGTTCTAGTCTAAGCAAAATGGGTAGTGTCTTGTTGATAAAAAATTTTGTGCACTTAAACCCTGGCTTAAAACCAATCTGAATATGTTGGAAGCTTTGAATTACTTTGTTGTTAACTAGTTGTTAATTAAATATGAAGCCAAAAATTTGTTTTAGGAAAAAGCATGGTAAAACCGAATCTGTGTGTGTGTGTGTGTGGGGTGAATGCTGGAAATCCTGATTTGATTAGAAAATAGTGGAATGAGTACGTAAATAAAATCCTGAACATTTTGTCATGCTGAAAGCCGAACTCATACATGTATGAGACCTTAGGAAATTTTATTTGCTAGCAATGAGAGGAATAGCTTTATGGGCAGAAAAATAATTATCATAGTGACCTCATAATTTAATTAAGGTACAAGGATTGAAAGCATAGGAACTATTTGTGAATTGTAGGAAAAATTATGTAAAATTCTGACTTGGTGAAATGGTATACTAGGTGCGCATAAACCTCTAAGAACGTGGACTATTCTGGTGCGGTTTGAATTGTATTTGGGCACGAAAGGTATGTGTTTGGTGGTGAGACCTACTATGACTATTAGCTAGAGTATGGAATTTTGAACTGATGCTCACATGTCCCTTATGATTCGTATTCTGTTATATGATATATGAAATCTGCCTTTGGACTTGTCTTGATGGAAAATTCTACCTATGGAAGTGTTTTTTATTCGGCAACTTGGTATTAAATATACAAGAGATATATGCTATATGATTTAGTTATGCATTTGCACATCATGATTCACCTGTGTCTGTTTGTGTGTGTGTCAAGCATGTCATAGCATACAGAATTATGCATTCATCTTATTACAAAAAAAAAAAAAAAAATTATGCATTCATCTTGGAAAACGAAGTATGTAATAAATAAGCATACGTTTGAGCACGCATCATGTAGGCATCCCTCTGGTACCAGGGATAGAACATTGGCTCAGTTCGCATAGGTCCAGTGGAATTCAACTTTGGAGCCGTATGGAATCTCCGCTGCGTTTGTTAGTACGTGCACGACGGTGCTATGAACGTACCCTTTGGCGTTATATACGCACCTTGATTAGTATTTTGGCGTTATCTACGCAATATGATTAGTACTTTGGCGTTATATACGCACTATGATTATATGTTAGCATCTGTCTGGAAGAATTAAATGTTGATACGACTGTTTTAGAATTTTGTACCTAGTCTAATATTTTTGTTGTATTGGTTTTATTGCCACACTACTGAGATTTTTGTCACCCCTTCGGGGGCTCAATTTTTATAAATTGCAAGAGTACGGAAAAGCATGTGATGACGTCGTTATTTTGGATATTTGCTGTTGACTGCTGCTATGTTGAACTTCTACTGTTATTTGTTTGTCTGTTGGATGATAGCTGACTGTGCTGTATTGTCTGATAATTTTGGAAAGATGAACCCCCGATGTAAATATGTCTTATTTGACTTTTATAGTCAGCTGGTAAATTGGGAGATTTAGGCTATATTTTACGAAAACTGATTTCTGAAGTTTTGAATGCTGAATTATAAACTATTTTTGGCTAGGACTTTGCGAGTTATCGTTCTAGGGCTACAGACCTCCGATTTTCTTATAATTTATATGCACGCGTAGCCCCGAGTGTCTAGTTTCATATTATATAAACTTTACAATGAAATTCTGATAGTTCGATTTATTGTGATTTTCACCAGTCAGGTCGATTTGGAACATTTTCACTGATTTATCTCTTACCTTGTGAGTTCTGTTTCGGGAGCTAAACACCTCCGAACGAAATGATTTATATATGTACGCAAAGACCCGAATGTCTAGTTTCTTCGTAGCAAAGAATATTTTTGTTAATTTTTGTATTCGAATTGTTCATAATGTTTTCAAGTCAGGTAGTTTCGGGAAAAATTAGAGAAGCGCAGCAAAAGCTGTTTGTTTTATTTTCTTGAGGTCTTTATGTTTCGAAGTCAGTGTTAAAGAAAAGATTTTCAATGATAACTCCAATAAGTTTTTACAGAAAAAGAATTTTTGATTGTAACATTTTTATTTCATAACTCAAAATCATAGTTCAGTAATTAATTTAATTCCGCTACGACTATAATCCGCTTAGCAGACAACTCCTTTGGACGCGTACAAGGGAGGGTGTCACACTTGAGTTATATGGTATCAAGCTCACCTGATGTAGAATCGCTAGAGAAAACTTTCTCCATCACTAAGTGGGAAACTTTTGGACCTTGAGATTAGTCCCTCTTATTGTTCCACCATACCCTTTTTTCGGATTATTGATATGCCTTCAGCATATATATGATTTTAAGCCAAAAAGAGTAGGAATCTTGATTAATCGTGAATGAAAAAGGGCTATAATTACCATTAAACTGATAAATCCTAATCATGTATCTTGTCACTGATTTTCTTATATTTTCGTAGAAAAAAGGACGAGAAAGAGGCCCAATTAATAGCCAAGGAAAAACACTAATCTGAAGCTACTGCGCTACTAGCGCGGCACCGGCGCTTTCAGCGCCAGCATCTTCCTTCATTCGCGTTGTCAGCGCGAAGCTACCGCCTCCAGACAACACTCCCACACTATCAACGCCAACCTAGCGCTAGTAGCGCGGGAAGCACGTGATAGTTTTAAACTCTGCATCAGAGGGTATCTAGAGGAGATCAAAAAGGAAAGATTTGATAAGGATTTCTAAACAAGGGAACAAAGTCTATAAAAAGAGACTAAGCACCATGAGGAAAGCATCTTTGGCCGGAGAGAATTGTGAGATTCAGAAAATTGAGATAATTCTTGGAGGCTCACGCTGGAGATCAGGATTCTGACGAAGTTGAAGACTACAGACCATTGATTCTTCCTCTTCATCTTCTTCTTTTCTTTCTGCTTTATGAATTCTTTTCATTATTTTAATTTGTTAAAGCTAGATATGTCTGGCTAATTTCTTTTTGTAGTTGGGATCACAGATCCAATGTGAATCCTTTTTAGTTATAAATTGGTTTTATAATTAATTTAATTTATTTAGTTTTATTCTGCCTGTGTTAATTCTTTCATATCCTTTAGAATTGATCGCTCTATTATAAGGTTTTGAGGGTTAGAGTTAACAATAGGAATATTAGGATTTTAATATGAACAATGGTAGAATAACAATCTGTGTATGACCTAGACATAGGCTTACATAAATGGTGACAGAGCTGGTTTGCTAGTGGTGAAAGGCAAAAGGAAAAAGCAAGCCACAATGGTGGCTATTCACAATATTGCAGGAATGTTAGTAAAGAAAAGAAAGAAAGCTCACCAAATGGTGGTAGCTCAATTAGTAACAAGAAAATTGAGTAAGTGAAAAAAGGGAGTATTGATTTGATCCCCACATGTCGCCTTTAAGAGAGATTTAAATATTTTTATTTCTGGCTCGTATCACACTTTAGATTAGTCCATAGCCGGCTCAAAGAGATAATTAGAATTGGATTAACTAAAAAAAAAGAGGTAAGCTAGGAAAAAACATTACTTAACACTTAAAATAGAAATCAAAGGTAAAGGAACTTGAGTCTTTGTTGTCAATGGACAACAAAAATAAAGAGATAGAAGGGTGCACACTCTGGCATATTCGTTGTTATTTATTTATTTTTATTTTTTACGTTTATATGTTTTATTATTATAATGTTTCAAAACAAGGAAAAAAAATAAAATAAAAATGTAAAAGTTGGTATTATGAATATTTAAAAATAGTAATTAAATGTTCCCTAATCTAAACTTTTGTATACTAAAGATAAAGAAACGAGATAATGTTTATCTATTTAGTGCACAATTCCAACTCATTAATATACATTCTGATAGCCATAGAGGCCCAAAGGGCTGTAGGCCCAAATCAATTAAGTTACTCTGAGTTTGTTATTTCAGTAAAACAGAATTAGTTACAATAGCTTTGCTTCTAATGTATATATATACACAACGATACATTATTGTAATGCAAGAGTTAATAGTAATTTTCAATCATTTCTTTCTGAATTCTTTCGTTATTCTTTCTCTCCTTTCTTCTTCTCACCATAGCTGTGATACCTCACATGGTATCAGAGCTAAACAGATCCATGGAGACCAACACCAACACTGCGCTTAACTCTGTTCACACGTTCTCTAACCCTGTATCCTTCAAGCTGAATGAAGAGAATTTCCCGCCATGGAAACAGCAAGCATCAGCAACAATCAATGGCTACAACTTAACAAGGTTCATCACAAAAGAAGTACAAGACTCAGCTTCAACAAGTATTGGAAATGAAGCTACAGATACAGGTACTTCTACAATTCAAAATTCTCAAAGATCTCGTTGAAAGGATCTTGATACTCAACAAGATCAGTTGCTTCTGTCATGGCTTTTGTCCTCCATGTCAGAAAGCCTATACACTCGTATGGTAGGATGCACTACCTCATTCCAAGTTTGGCAAAAACTTGATGAATTCTTTGCTTCACAAACAAGAGAAAAGATTAAACAGTTGAAAATTCAGTTAAAGAACACAAAGAAAGAAGGAGATGTGTCTAAATACTTACTTCAAATCAAGAAAATAGTGGACTCTCTTGCTGCCACTGGTTCGAAAGTTGACACAGAAGATCATATAGATGTTATTCTAGATGGTCTAAATGAGGATTATGATTCCTTTGTAACATTAGTGATTTCCATATCAGATCCCTACACTGTAGGAGAAATAGAAGCATTATTAATGGCTCAGGAGCAAAGGCTTGAAAAGCACAAAAGGAATCTTGCAGCATCTATGCAAGCTAACATGACACAACTACAGACTAGAAGACAAAATAACTTTCCAGGAAGTTTTAGAGGAAGTTTCAATCAGAATAGAGGAAGATTTTCTGGACACAGAGGAGGAAACAGGTTCCAAAGAGGAGGAGGAGGAGGCAGATTCTTTGCAAACAACAGGCCACAGTGCCAAGTATGTGGGAATTTTGGTCACCTTGGCTGGGAGTGCCATCACAGGTATAACCAGAATTTTCAATCTCCTTATCCTCAAAACTTTCAGTCTTCTTATCCTCAGAATAGCAACAGCAACACCAATACTGGAAGTGGAAATTTCCAAGCAAATATGGCAGTGACAAACTCTGCTAGTTCACATCCACAAGAAGATACATCCTCATATGCTGGCTCAAGTCAGTTTGGTGCTCCTTCTGACTACTTCTCAGCCACGGATTCCAGCTGGTACCCTGACTCAGGAGCTACCAATCATTTCACACCTGATGCAAGCAACCTGGTAAACAAAACACAGTATAATGGTCAGGAAATTGTTCAAGTAGGTAATGGCTCTAACTTGAAAATCAAAAGCATTGGACACTCAATTTTGCACTCTACTAACTGTCCTATATCCTTTCAATTGTCAAATTTATTACATGTTCCTAGCTTATCAAAAAAATTGCTAAGTGTTTCCCAATTTGATAAAGAGAACAATGTTTACTTTGAATTCCATGCTAATGTATGTTATGTTAAATCTCAGGCTACGAAGGAGATCCTTCTCCAAGGCAAGCTTAAGAATGGACTCTATGCTTTTGATGTTGGCTCAAAATCACAACTTCAAAAGAGTCACTGCTGATTCAAGTCCTACCTCTATTGCTATGGCTTTAAATACTTGTTCAAACATTTCATGTAATAATACATCTAGAAACTCTACTCTAGATCTATGGCATTCGAGATTAGCTCATGCCTCTCTCCAAACTGTAAAGTTGGTCCTTAGGTACTGTAATATACCATTTATAAATAAAATAGATACAAAATTGTGTTGTGCTTGTTGCATGGCAAAAATGCATCAATTACATCTACCTAATACCACTACTCTTTAC